AAATGTAATTAATTAATTTAAGAAAAACCTGATTTTTGTAATTTTAAACTGTTGGGCCTGATTTTTAATTTTGGAATAGTAAACACCTGACCCATAAACTTTTCCCATCTTGATATGTGAAGTGAATTCTGCGTGATTGGACTGGCCTAAGATAATGGAGTCCAAACAACGACTTAATACATTGTTACTTTATATTTGAATTTCACATTCTAAAGTTTCAATTAAATTTGGGTACAATAATAAAGATACAAGTGCTTTAAAAAAATGATCCACATTCCCAATCTTCAAAGAGTGACTAGAAGTAAAGTTCTAAAAAACATGAAACGTGATAAGATGACAATATTAACCTCAAGTTTTATGAATTTAGACGACGTGGAATGACGATTTCTTATTTTTTAATTGTTCAACATACTAATAAATAAATAAAATAATGTACTGTAAGTTTCTACTATCAAATAAATATTATTATTTTAATTATTTTTTATCAAGTTCATAAAGCATGTGTTGTGCCTGTTAAGATAAAAAAGTATTCGTCACGATTTATGAGTTTTTGCTTTCTATTTATTAAAATTTTCTATTAAATATGTTTATTTAACCTCAAAAAATTGAAAAAAATAAATAAAAATACACATGGCTTTTAACGCTAAGAACGCATTAGACTTTCAATCTTATTATCGAGTGTGATTATTTAGATTGGTGACAACACTGATACTAGATAAAATAATATTTTTCTCCACGTGGGGCATTTTTCATGCATATTCTTTTTTCGACTTTTACAACAATGCTTATAAGTAATCAACTTTAACAACTTCAATTGTCAGAAGTAGAAACTTTAAATTGAAGAATTTACTTTAATGCTATATTAAAGTAAATGGGGGCAAATATGTCACTTCCTACGCAGACCGCAGTCTTCCAGGAGGTTCAAACCCTAATCTCGGACCGCAGAACGCAGTCTTCAAGAAAGGTTGAACGCGAACGCAAGCCCGCGTTCAACCTCCGTAATCTCCGATCTCAGCCAGTATTAATTGACCATAAATCTTCCCATTCAACCGACCCACAAACAGTGATGTCGGCCAAGTGGCGTGCTTTGCAGCACCGCCACCGCTACACTTACAACGCCGTTGCATTTCCTCCATACTTCA